GAAGACCAGGTCCACCGGGGTTCGCATTTCCCGGCCCAGCCTGAGCGAGGCCGGGGTGCACCCGGTGGATTCCTGGACTGTGGTCCTATACACCCAGAGCACAAGGGGGAGGTGGCGGTCCCAGTCCCATTGGTGATTAAACAGCTCCACCAACCCATCGCTCTGGGGATGCAGCGGTGCGGTCCACCTCTTAGTGATCCCCAGGTACTGGCAAATGTCCCCTCCAGCAGTGCATCAGCCACCGTGGGGGCACTCTGGTCTGGGAGGGCGTAGGCCTCTGGCCACTTCGTAAAATAGTCCATGGCCACCAAGACGTAGCGGTTCCCGGCCTCGGTGCGCGGAAATTGGGCTAAAACGTCCACCCCCACCCGCTCCATAGGAGCCCCCACCCGGTGTTGTTGGAGGGAGGCCCGAGAGTGCTCGGGGGGGCCCTTCTGTGCCACACACACCGCACACGTACACGGTGGCAAAGACCCTGCAGGGTTTTTTTACCACCGAAGTGCCCCACGCCTGGCTGGTCGTGCACTGCAGAGCGACCATGGCACCACCAGCTGCCACTGTACCTTGCCACTGAAGGGTGCCCGCCACCCCCGGCGCAGCACCCCGTCCTTTACCTCCAAGGCCTCCCACAGAGCGCAGAGGGCCTTGACGGACTTTGGGTGCGGGCCGAGCTCCTCTCGCGTAGGCCGCACTCCTGCTGCCCTCCAGCGGAGCACCGGCCCCACATCAGGATCAGCTGCCTGACGCTGCGCCAGGTCTGACAGGCCCACCCCCAGCGGCCCCTCCCGGGCCGGGGCCGCGGTGCTCGCCTCGGCCACGGTGCATACAGCCTCCTCATGCTGCTCCCGCTAGGCGCAGTGGTGGCAGTCCGCAGCCTCGCAGGGGTGCCGCAAGAGAGCGTTGGCATTGAGATGGCGAGACCCCGCACGGCGCACGACGGTGAAGTTGTACTCCTGCAGGATCTCTATCCATCGCGCCATCTGCCCCTCCGGCTCCTTAAAGTGGAGCAGCCAGGTGAGGGACGCATGGTCGGTCCTCAGCTGGAACCGGGTCCCGAACAGGTACGGTCTGAAGTGGTGGACTGCCGTCATCACCGCCAGCAGCTCGCGATGGGTCACGCAGTAGTTCCGTTCAGCCCTAGTCAAAGTCCGACTATAGTAGGCCACTACATGCTCCCTATCTGGCCCCTCCTGCACCACCGCACCCACCCCCAAGTTACCCGCGTCGGTATCGAGAATATACTGTAACCGCGGGTTGGGGTAGGCCAGCAGAGCTTCGTGCAACCGGCCGAAGGCCGTCTCACAGCCCGAGTCCCATTCGAAACGGCGGCCCTTGTCGGTGAGACGGTGCAGCGAGGTAGCGATGCTGGCAAAGTCCCGGACGAACCTCCAGTAGTACGAGGCCAACCCCAGAAAGCTGCGCAGCTCCGTGACGGTGCGGGGAGTTGGCCAGCTCCTCACTGCGGTGACCTTACCTGGGTCCGTAGACACCCCTCGCGGTCCAACAACATGTCCCAGGAAGGTCACCTCCCGCCGCAGGAGCTCGCACTTGCGGGTGCTGAGCCTCAGGCCAGCACGGCGGATGCAGGCCAGCACCGCCTGGAGGTTCGTCAAGGCCTGGTCGAAACCCAGGGCATGAACCAGCAGATCGTCCAGATACAGCACACACTGGTTCCGCGGGACCGATGCCAGCACCCTCTCCATCAGCCTTTCGAACGTCGCCGGGGCATTGCACAGGCAAAAAGGCATGACTGTGAACTGCCAGAGTTCACTGATGGAAAGGCCGTCTTCGGACGAGCATCGGGAGCAAGAGGTACCTGCAGTAGCCACAGCGGAGGTCCAGGGAGCTGAACCAGGTCGACCCGGTGATGTAGTCCAAGGCGTCATCTATCCTCGGCAGGGGGTAGGAATCTTTCCAGGTGACCTCGTTCAGCTTGCAGTAGTTGACGCAGAACCTCCACGAGCTGTCTTTTTTTTTTACCAGTACAGCTGGCGCCGACCACGGGCTCGCGGAGGGCTCAATCACCCCCGCTGCGGCCATCTCCAGGATCTTTTCCTCGGTGGTGGTCCGCTTGGCGTGAACTGGTGGGATGCGGATGGGCCGAGCGTCGCCGGTGTTGATTTCGTGTTGGACCAGGGCAGTGTGGGTGCAGTCCTCATCTCTCGCCGCAAAGAGATCTTCGTTCTGGGTGAGTAGCTCCTGGAGCCGCTGCCGCTGGTCCTGATTGAGGCCCTCGCAGCTCTGCTGGTAGAGGTCCTCAACGGCACGCCTCGCTTCCACGCAACGCACGGCCCCCGCCGCCGCCGCCTTGTCTGGACCCCCGGCTTAACGTGACATCAGCGGCAACCGGGCCCAGTCGATCTCCTTGTTGGTGCCGCCGCAGGGCCAGCCTCTCCCGCATCAAGTCCGGGGCCTCCTCCACACCGAAGCGCAGTTGGAAAGCTGCTGCCAGCGCCGTGTATTCGCTTCTGTCCTCCTCCGGGACGTCCAGGAGCACCTGGCAGGCCGCTCCTTCCAGGGCTACCGCCAGGTGGCCGGCCATCTCCGCCCGGCTCCAGCCAATTGTCCGGGCCGCGAGCTGGAACTGCGCCTCGTAGGTTTCCCAAGGCGCTTCCCCATCGTAGCAACCTAGTCGCACCCGCGCCGATGGGTGTGGGAATCGCTGATCGGCTCCGGTAGGGAGAGTATCCTCTTTCTGGGGCACCTGCTGACCAGGAGTAGCGGCCAGTCCTCCCTATTCTGCTGGCGGGACCACTATTGAATAGCCCTGGTAAGGGCTGTGGCCACCTGTCGCACCCAGGAGTTGCTCAGGCTCCCTATGTGCGCTGCCGATGGGTTCTGTTTCTTTCAGCATCAGCTGGCGCTTAACAGAATCGGGTAATGTCTGCCACGATTTGTCCATCTATCCCACTACTGAAACCAATGTAGCGTTTACAGGTTCTTTTCAGAACAAAAGACCAGTGGAGACACAATTAACAAACCAAGCACTAGCTTTATTCATTAACAACCACACAAAACCAAACACAGGATATACACGCACATGAGGAGACTGACGGAACACGTACACATCTTTAGGGTGGTAATTACTTAACAACACGCTATACTTTTATATGACTACACAGGGCACTAGAACTACTAGGACATTATTTACACAGGTAGGGTCAGCCGCTGGTCATCGTGCCGACCCTCAGACTCTTCCTGGCTACCACTCCCAGCATGCCCAGCGGTACTACGAGCACCTAGGGGGGCTTCCTCCTCAACACCAGGCGAGGGCGTTACAATATTCAATACTTAAATGGGCACAGTTAAGACATTAAATATACATATACATACTGTCTACAGTACAGTTTGCATACGGTAATATGTTTATGTTCCTAAATCAATCTCTTTTATGAGCATGTGAAAGGCATGGTGAATCGATTCTCAAAAACGACTGTACTTTGCATGATTGGAAACAAATGCGTGATTGCGAAATGCTGTGGTGTTACTTTTACAAAGACAGTCAATGAAAAAAATAATGTGGACCAGGGCAATACTTTGAGTTTACAGCTTGTCCAAGGTCATTCATTATTAATACTATTAGTAATTTCTTCCTTAAAGACTTTGATGGCGACAGCTCAAACATGAGAGGTTGAGCTTTATTAGCTCCACCTTGCGAAAATTCCAGATACTATTATTTTACTTGCGGTACTATACGAGAATTTACGGTAACTAGCGGTATTTACTGGTAACTTGCGGTAGACTGCGTAAAGCTCACCGCAAAATAATGCGGTATCGCCCGTGCATTTTGAAAGGCTGCATCTGTACCTAATACAGTATATCAAAGAAAAGGAAGACTAAAACTTTAGCATTTAGCCACACGTTCAAACCTGATTGTTTGTAAAAATAATAATACAAGTATTTTGTATCTTTTGTGACTGTGCTGATTGGTACATTGATTTAATTCTGTATTTATGAACCACAAGAGTTAAACGTAGAAGCCCAAATAAATGGTTGAAGAAAGGGTGAATGAAAGCTTAGAAGTCCAAATGAATAAAGAAGTCCAAGTTGAAGAAAATGGTGATCTTATAGAAACCACACGGGAAAGAAAAACAAAAACACGTAATATTTGATTTTTTTTATTGTCTAATTTACATGAGTACTGGTCAACTTACTTAAAATGTGCTTTTAGGTTCCACATATATGACTGATTTACAGGTTACGTTGTTTTTGAGAATTTTCTAGGAACCTATTTACAATCAAGGATTATTTGCAATTTGTTCCTCAACCCAGTCGACAAACTTTGAGACTCTAACATAGACTCCAGGTTTCATTGCATTTGCACAGCCCAGTCCCCAAGATGTGACTCCCTGAAGGATAAAAGTGTTCTGCGAATAGCAGACCAAGGGACCTCCACTGTCACCCTAAGAACACACAATTAAAGACATGTGAACCACACACGTTATAATGCATTACAATTCTACAGAAACCTAACACCACCAATGGCACATGGAAAACTTGGTCAGTTTTAATTTTGAGGAATGGCAATGAGATTTTCCTTAAATCAAAGTATGTTATATATTTATTATTTCTTAATGTGGTACAGTACATTTTTAAAATTGTATTAAATACAAAGTTAATTACATAAGATTCAATATCTTTATTTCAGCTGCATTTGAGTAGAAATCTATAAGGAAGTAAGCGAATAATCTGACTCTACAATCTTGTAAAAGGAAAGGTTGGAAATGTAATTTAAAAAACTAAGTGTATGATTTGGCTCTGCTCCATTTTGAAGAGGGAATTAAAACATATGTACAGTATATACTGTACACTGGATTGTTTCTAGCCCACTCCTGCAACCTTTGTTATATTTCTGACAACTAGATTAATAATCATTGTAGCATGGCAAGCATTTAACATTGAATTTAACATTATTTCCTCTGGTATCATTATCTGCTTATTAAAACCATGTCTGTTTTACCTGGCAGCTGTCTGAACCCCCTTCTATATTTCCAGCACACATTTCATGGTCCTGCACCCTTCCACCTAGATATGCAGGACGATTGCACACTTTGTTTTCAATGACTGGGAAACCAGTTTCTTTAAGCAACCCTTCTCCTCCAGTACCTACAAAAAGAATTATACAACACCTCAGATTCAGTACTGTATTTTGGAAACACTTAACAAAAAATGGGTAGAAGAACCACTACAAGTTATGCCCTACATAGATGTCTTCAAGAAACTCATTATTGTTTCTTTAGAACAATAACAACAAAATCTCAGAAGGTATTAAATAGTTTTTCAAAACCGTTAAATGCATTGACGAAGACAGCCAAAACACTACTTCATACTTTACATTTAAACCATGCCCACAAGGCATGTTTCAATATTTTGGAAGCTGATTCACCAGAAACCTCTTAGAACAAAGAGTGGACATTAAAAAAGGAATGTTGTGAGAATAATGTTGTGGGGAGAAGTGGCCTGCAGTTGTGAATACAACAAAATACTACTGTTTCTATAAATATTGTGACATAATGCATCATGTTTTAAATTCACAATGTAATGATTAACTTAAACATTGTTCATTTGATAGTTTTAAGCATATAGATGTGTTTTAATTGGATGGATCCTCAAATCCTTGGATTTGGATGGATGGATCCTTTTAATTGGATGGATCCTCAAAATTGGGTATTTTATAACTGAACATAATTTAAGTTTATTAGCATTTAACCAGATATTTATAAAATATTATTTTCCATTTATAAACCACTTAAGTGCCTTAAATCTTAATTTATATTAATAATTAATTATTTTCATAGATTTTAAACAGAAAATGACTAATAACAGTCTGTAGGCTGCAGAACAATCATTACTTGAGAGACTGTTACCTATTTATTGAATTGTCCTATTAGTGCACACTAATACTATTCCACTAATACTACTTCTCATATTATAGATCATACCTTTTGTCTCACCCCATCCAGTCACATAACATTCAGTCCCACTTGGGGCTATGTAATCTTTCTCTGGCAAACAAGCAGGCAGAACTTTATCATTTATTGTAGCAGGTCTGGAACAAAAAAAATGACACTACTATACTGGCATTTATTTATTTAAGTGCTAAGAATTGTGTTCACTTGTAATTATTTATACATTACTTTTTAAATAATATACAAACATCAAAATCAAGAAAATAAACTAGTCCCATAAGATTATGGAATTTGTAGACTTTGCAATAATACAGTATTATTTATAATAATACAGTAATGCAGATCCAGCAATGTGTCAATATGCTTGCCTGTATTATAGAGTGTATACAATACCTCAACTTTATTTTTTGAATTGGAAAAACAACATTGTGAGGTACTGTATGTGACCTGTAAATCCTGAAACAAACCTGGTTAGTTTGAGCAATGCAATATCAATTCCAGGCGGTCCTAAGATGAGTTTTTCCACATCTATTTCTTGCTTTGACAATTCTGTTGCTAGTTCTCTGTAGATTCCTAGATATACTTTGTAAGCAGCGGGTTTCTTTGATCTGCAAAAACATACAGATTTAAATACAGTATATAATACTTGGGAATTCTTATCAATTCATCAAGCGTACAATTACACCCAACAGATTAGAAACTTCTCAAGATGAAGTAATTTTTCTTCCTTTACATTTTGGGTTTTTGTCTGTTTTCGTGATAATTTCTTTTTAGCTATTTGTTTTAAAAATACGTCTGGGGAAATAAAGACACTTGAAACTTAATGTTCATTAACCGTAGTGCACAGTCTCTTACTTATGGTAGACAGCCAAAAAGATCCTATAGTGGTGCTTAGCACCCCAAGGTATCACTTCTTTGAAGGAAATGCTTTTTTTGTAACTCTACAATGCAAAAAAAGAACATTTGCATTGTTTTGATTTCCAGCAAGTTGTTTATACTTATACAGTGTATTTCAGTCATTTCTGTATTGTATTCTGAATATGACAACCAAAGAAGGTCCCACAACCAAAATGTTGTGTTTGCGTTCTTTTCTTTTCAGCATGGAATACACCTATTACTTGTTCCTTTGCAGCCTCTGCATGCTGATGCAGCTACTGACCTGAACTATTTCTGTATTAAGATGTCAAACATGCTTACTTACCTCTCAAGACAATGAGCTGCTGTCAGAACCCATTGTGGCCTTATCAATGTTCCTCCACAGAAGTGTAAGCCAAAGCTGAAGTACAGGGAATTATTGATTTTATTGTTTAATCAAATACTGAATCCAAAACATTTAAAACACCACACAGTAGTACACGTAATGTTCTCATAGGCTAAAATATCAGCTTCCCTTTAATAGTTTCAGTTTTATTTCTCAAACATTAAATATCCTAGAAATAAATTTTTAATTAAATCTTTAATTACCGAAATTATCCTGAAACTAGGATTATGCATTTACCCTTCCCATAACAAAAGATTTGTATCCTAATCCCTTCTACTCATTTGCAGGTTTTGACTTCACAGGACTCTTCCAGTTCTCTGCCAGTTTCCCTCTCTCCCTCACAGCTGAACATTGTCTCTTTTCTTTTCCTTTCAGTATGGAATAAACCTTTACTTAACTATAATGTAATTACTAAGGTGTATTATAATACTATTATAAATACTGTTGTGTTTTGAAATACTTTCTGTGTCACAAACTACGTGACACAGAGAGATGTACAGTATTACAATACCTAAACAAGCAAATTACAATTCAGTTAATGGTGATAGAGGACACTATTTTTCTTTTATATTTATTTTTATAAATGTCTTACCTATATGTAGGTAACCATTGTTAAGGATAAAAGGTACTTTAATCCACTTGCTATTTAGAACTCATTTTGAAAAATACTGAAGTGTTGCTTCAGTATTACTGTTTTTACATCAGTGTTAAATCTTCTTTACATGTTTTGCATCCATTGAGATACAATAAGCAAAGCATATTGTATACATTTTCAATAGCTATGTAAGAAATACCCTACTTTGTCCGAAGACTAATTTGCCAGGGCCATGAGTAAGGTTTGGACACACAGCCTCCAACAATTCTTCCAAAGCACCTCTTGGGTGTTATAGCAGGTTTTCCACACTCCAGGTTTTCTGTTTAAGAGCAATATATATAGGAACAGACAGAAGCATTAACATCTGAAACAATGTTCAGATTTATCAAGGAAACTTGTTTTTTACCAGACTATTTTTAGCAGTGATAAGTTTAGGAATTTTATCTCACACAAATTTGTGTTACTGAGTAGCAGTGCTTCGAAATAAATGTACAGAGTCAAGGCAGCACTTTTCACATTCTGTATCTTATGCCTGCAACTTAATGAAGTGTTTCTTTCATTCTTCATTTTGACACATTTCAGTTGCTGTCTTTTCTTAGTGTTTACAGTTTTATAAACAATGAAAGGAGAGAATTCTCACCACAAAGTGGAATTTGACAATAGTCCCATTTTTTGGCAGGATCTGTAGTGTAGCACCAAGGTCCATTCACATCACCATCAGGATTTCTGCATTTCTGAAAATTGTTTAGTGGTATTTAGAAAGTGTTCAGTTAATATTAATTATCTGAATTGAATATTTGAAAACAATAATAAAACTAAAGAATATTCTTAAAGGGAATATTAGTCTCTAGGTTACATTTCTAAGAAGAAATTTGTTTTTTAAAGCTTCAAACAACAACTGTAAAAGACAAAGCAGTTTTTTTTTAAATAGAGATGAACCCCTCTCTTGGAGACCCAGAATCCCACAGTTTTTAATTAAAAAAACAACAAGCCTAATAATCTGACATTATTATATATTCTGATATTGAATACTTTTTTAAAATGACGCCAAGTGCTTTAAGGGTTGGTCAGCCAATGACAAAAATACAAATAAAATGTGTCCAGTTAAATACAACAATAATGATTCGCTCTTAAAAGTTCTTAAATATTTGGTGATAGATTGGCCCTAAAATAAGCAATATTATTGAAATAAGTAATGTCGTAAGTAATATTTCAACTATCTTAGTATCTTAACAAGATATTTGAACAGACTCACTCACATTTGACTCCAGACCTTTATCAGGGTGGGTCTGGGGTGTGAAGCTGGCATGCTGATGGGGAGTGTTGGAGCTCCATTCTTGGCAAGTTACTCCAAGTGCAGTGATTGATGTTGGGCCTCTATAATCCTGTCCATTGCCAATCATGCAATCTGAAAGAGAAAAGTCACACTTTAACTTCTATGAACTTTGAACCTACAGTATATGCATTTTAAGTAAGAGGATCATATGGGCAAGGATAATGCGACCAGCCAAGGATATAAGTTTAAACCTGTACACCCAGTACTGGTCCCTCTGAAAACAGTGTTTCCTTGTTTTCACTCTCATTTAGCTCTCAGGTGCTAAATTAATACTTTACTTAACTTAATAAACAATAATACAGATGTATAGCAGGTAGTGGAAGCTAAAAATAAAAAAAATAAGGTACATATCTTTAACTCTGTCACTTGCTGTGGTTATTTTGGGAAAGTGTTCAGCTCAGAGTGATGTATTGGTGGCTCAGTGTTAGGATTCTGTAGTATCATCCAAAAACTATCCCAACTATAACCCAAGTTACATTTTTAACAAATTGTCCCTTGACATAATTAACTCTTTCTCTAACAATAGAATAATTTGTAAACTATATTCACATTTATAAATATTGAATATATCACAGTATGTCAAATGCAAAACATATTATTAAAAATATTTAATAATATGTTTTGTATTCACTTATTTTTATTTTAAATTTAAAAGAAATAATGAACCTCCAGACCAACAATCTCCACGTTTCTCAGAAAGAGCAAGGGAATTTAAAGATCCCCTTAAACGAAATCGCAATTGAGTTTTTTACATGTAGATTATACACCATTTAGTTTAAAATACAAATTTTAATGACACTACATATATTTTTAAATTCTTAAATTATATCATTTAAAAACTAAATTTTCATTTTTATACATGTTTTGTGCTGCCTGTTTTCTTCTTAGTAGTTTACATAATTATGTTTTTATGTGTGAAATACATTTGGGTTAATAACATCTGTTCTAAAAGGTTTCAGATTTGTTTTAATTTGTATCTGTTGTAACTGTTAATACAATTAACTGTAACTGTTAAAATTAATTAAACAAAATAAAAATATTAAAAAGCATTGTGTCATTAATATAATTATTGTGTATCTCTAAATGGAGTTAATCTCACCTACAGTACTTTGCCCTCCTCTCTCGCTGAGATTTGCACATCTGGTGCACACCTTTAGGCTAGGTTAGGCTGCCAATCCTTCAGCTAGAAGAATTACACCTAACAAAGCTAATACATTTTGTCTCATAATCTCATTTATTAGTTTCTGACCAAACTACTGAACATACTTTCTCTTCCGTAAGTTTGAACTTATTGCATAAAAATGTTTTTATTTTCTTTCTGGAATATTACAGAGGAATATTACAGAGGAGGCAAGAAGAGATGGCTGATAAAATGGAGGGTGGTGTCATTCAGCTTGTAGTTTCTTAATTCAAGTTCATATGTAACAAAATAATTCATGAGTTTAGAAGGGACATTAAGATTTTGTGAGACTGTCATTTTGATTGACTGAGACAAAACTCACCTTTCACTTCATCTTGTTCTGGTGGGGTTTGAGGTTTGACTGCTGATGTGACAGCATCAGAACTGGCCTGCACCACACACTTCTCCACTCGGCAATACTCCCAGCGCACTGAGGGGTCTGTGGTATAGCACCATGGTGCACGATCACCATCGGGGTTCCTGCAGAAATTTCTCTTCAGATCGCTGTGGATCCAAAGCAGAAAAAGAGTCTTTACATCTTGCAGTGTTTCGAAGAGCAATATACCCCTACCTTAAGTATGAAAAGAACCAAAAAGCTGAAGATCTCACAATGTAAGAGCACAGACCAGATAAGAAAGCAGCCATGTTTCCTGATTTTGGAAGGTTCTTTCTCAATCATGCTTACAACAGACACCTTATTCTTCATAGGGAGAAACCCATCATTTAACATCCTTGCAGGAGAGAGACATGACTGGAGGAGCAATGTGCCTCATACTGGAGTGTCATAGGAATCTAGCCTGCTACATCTTACACCATTCAAAACACAAACCTAGACCAAAAGCACTTTCAGTTTTAAAAAAATCAGGAAAGAAGTTTTATATTTGGATTTCATATTGTAATCTTGGCTATTTTTACAAAATAGAGTAATTATACAGAAAATATCAGAGAAAGTGATTCCTTATCTGAAAGAATACTCAGCTTCATTTTAAAAATACAATTTCATCCTTTTTGTAGATAAAGGGCATTTTGTGATTTATGTCCCTATCATCCTACGCTTTTGGGAAGCTTTGAGGAGTCTTCTTATGACTGTGAGGAACCATGGAACTCCAGGCTTGGCACTTCCTCCCGCTAACTGTCTCTGAGATGACTCCTCGGTAACTGGTCCCATTTCCCTCATAGCAGTCAATAGCAGGAGGGATGATAGGCTCATCTACAGGTCAGATGGAAGCAACATTAGTTATAAGTACATTTACATGGCCTATTGTAACATGCTGTGGTTTAATATGACTAGATGTTTGTGTGCACTTCTGGAATTTGGCAAATATTTTTACTCTGAGATAACTTGTCGGCAGAATAAACTAGCATGAACAGTTCAACTAAATAATGTACATTCTTGTACATTCAAGATTTACAGATCTCACTCAGTTTTTTAATGCATTGTTTACTCAGGAATATATTGGATACTAATAATACTAATATGATACTACAACATAATGGGTGCTATAAAAATAAAAATGCTAATATCATACATCATAAGATGTAATGGCCTCTGTTAAACTTCTTAGTTAAAAAATTGTAAACCCAAAAGCCAATCACAAAACTTGATGGTGGTTTTTTTGTCTACAAGAAGTTGCTTCCTTCTAGTCAACAGTCAAAGTTTCGGTCAAGCACTGTTTTTGTAGTTAGCAATTGGCAGGTATATTGAGATTTTGTTTTAATCTGGATTATAAAAACATCAAACACACAAAATCAAGTTTAAAGAAGTACTTTTTAGTAGAGTATTGTATAGTCAGTTTAACAGCGGTACCCTCTAGTACCTAAGACAAAAATGCTGTGATTAATTATTTGCTTTAAAATTGTGCTGTCATTACATTGGAGAAGTATAATATTGTCAACAGATGAAGACACAAAACTTTGACACTTTTGATACTTATTGAACTACCACTCCCTATTTTGTAAAGTGTAGTAATTAAGCAAAAAATGCTCAAGCATTTAATCAAAATTAAGATGTGATTTAAAAACCTTGTATGGTCCGTACAGCATTAGTATTTAAATAATACTGTAACATTTGATTAAATATTTTTAAGAGTTATGGTCCATTCACATATTTCATTGTAATATTTACACAAAAAATGTTTGTAAAAGCTCTTATTTAAATAAATAAAATGTATGCAGTATCCATTATCAATTTTGAAATGGATTGAAAATGCTTGCAAGACAAAAACCAAATTATAAAGCAGGTCTCCAATGATGTAGCCTCACATCATGGCTGAGAGGTAATTATTTCTTTCTAAGAGGGTTCACTTTATTTCATGTAATGAAATATAATGAGCAAAATACATATTTGTATTAAATAACAAAAATAAAAAACGTTTTTCATTACTCCACTTTTATTGTATTTAGCATACTGTATCATGAGGATGGGAGGTTCTGGCAAGGTGGAAGCCGTGGCCAGAACTACATTCCTCAGTAATCTGCTAGCAGCCATATCACTCTGCAACTCACAACTGGCAACCCACTGAAGTTATGCAGGTGTGAGCCTGGTCAATACCTGGATGGGAGACCTCCTCAGAAAAAACTAAGGTTGCTGCTGGAAGAGCTGTTAGTGGGGCCAGCAGGGGGTGCTGACCCTGCGGTCCATGTGGGTCCTAATGCCCCAGTATAGTGACGGGGACACTATACCGTACACAGGCGCCCTCCTTAGGATGGGATGTAAAACTGAGGTCCTGACTCTCTGTGGTATTTAAAAATCCCAGGGTGTTTCTCGAAAAGAGTAGGGGTGTAACCCCAGCGTCCTGGCCAAAATTTCCCATTGGCCCTTACCAATCATGGCCTCCTAATAATCCCCATCTATGAATTGGCTTCATTACTCTGCTCTCCTCCCCACTGATAGCTGATGTGTGGTGAGCGTTCTGGTGCACTATGGCTGCCGTCGCATCATCCAGGTAAAAACAAACAAACACAAATAAGGATAGGTCTACATCACAAATTGTTCGCCTACTGTTTCTTTGCCAAGCCAGAAACCTGAGCTCTTTTCTTTGATGCAAGAAAGTCTAATCTTGTCTTAAAATCCTGAACTATGGCTTCTTGCAAGATGGAGAAGAGGTGTGAATCTGTCAGGCGGGACCTATGTGATGACTTGTTCCTCTTCACGACAGAGAATAGCTGCTCACACAGGTATGTGCTTCCAAACATGCAGTTAATATCCACAACTTCGAGTCGAACTTATGGCATGGACTCTGGAATAATGGGTGGGAAACTGCTTGCACCAACAGTGTCAAATTTATGTTTCAGCACACTATTACACTGGAGCTCAATTAGTTCCATTTGTAAGTTCACTGGTGCACTCTCCGCATCAAAACGACATGGATTTTTTAAACTTGAATTCCTGGGATCAGAAGTCTGTAAATCGTCGTACAAATTTGGCGTGAATTGAGATTAGTTTTCTGTCAAAGTCAGTGCTTGCAAAGGTTAGTTACTTGAGTTCATTGGCAACTGTTTGGCAAGTTGGAAAATGTCCAAAGTTCCCTTGTTGCATTTGATTTTGTCACAAACACAAAGTCAATTTGGAAGCATTTCACTGAATCATACATGTCGGTGATCAAATAACTGTGTCCCTGTAATGTACCATTCAATGTTGCGAGGTGGCATACTACAGCACATAAAAAAGCGAAGTCACAAAGCCACTTCTCGTCTCAAATCTCCATCATAGATATCCCTTTGTTTTCCATAATTTGTTACATCTCTTTACGTAGCTCAAAACCACCCCACAGATGGAAATTGATAGTTGAGCGGTGTCTGTAGCATCTGTGCTCTCGTCAATGGCAAGTGAATATGCAATAAATTAGTTCGCTTTCTCTGCAAACTGCTCTTGTAGATCGTTAGCAATCTCGTCCATTCGAGTAGTCATTGTATTTCTAGTGAGACTGATGTTTGCAAAAGTAGACCTTGTTTCTGGACACACTCCTTCACTGACTTTTAACAGGCATTGCTTTGGAAAAACGCCCTCACAGAATGGTCTCCCTGATTTAGCTATTTCTTCAGCCACGATAAAACTTGCCTGCACTGCTGCTTCATTTTGTGATTTGGCTTTTATAAACATACTCTGCTGGAAATCAAGTTCCCTTTTTAACTATTTTTCTTTTCCTTTCCGAAGTACTTAAGCCATCATATTTTTTTCCATGCTTTGTCAGGTAATGGCGCCTTATGTTAAACTCTTTCACAATGTCCACAGTTTCTTGGCATATTAGACACAATGATTTTCCCTTGTGTTCAACGAACAGGTATTCTCTCTCTCACCTTTCTTGAACAACTCTACCCTCTCTGTCTACTTTTCTTTTCTTCAACATTTTCTACAGTTACATATTACTATCATGATGATAGGGTTTTTTCTATTACTAGATTCAAGGTGATATCTGTGTAAACGTAACTAATCTAATTCGTTTTACTCCTGAGGGGAGGGGAGGACATTAATACTCAGTTGTTGCATGATGCGATTGGAGCCAAGGGCCTGGCTCATGGACTTGGAGTTCCTGCTGTCGTGGGACTCATACAATAGAGCGGGAAAAGTCCTGCAAGGGCCCGATTAAAAGGATTGAGGGCCGAATGTGGCCCGTGGGCTGTGAGTTTGACATATGTGCTCTAGAGGAAGCAAGATGCTAAAACTGCCACCAGGAGAGAGAATTGTGGAAGCATGTGGTGCTGTCAGTGAGGAAATGTATCTCTTTTCCAGTCTAGCTAAGACAAAGATGGGTAGGCCAGAGGAAATTACCTACGCTTCCTCATTTGCTGCTCTGTGTGATTATGGGGATTGTTGTTGTTAACCAAGATGTGAAAGCACACTGGCTATTTAGTATAACAAAAAAATAATTGGTGATTATTAACTTATCAATAAAAAAGCAATACACATCTTACACTTACTTATGCTTGGCTCATCACCACAAGTTGGCACTTTACAGTATTCCCATCGAGTATTGGGGTCAGTAGTGTAGCACCAAGGCATCCTCTCACTGTCAGGATTTCTGCAGTAGTTTAACTCAAGGCCCCTGAAAGGACAGCAACACTCTTTATTTGTCTGTATTTACACATATGGTTTCCAGCATTTTTTTACAATTTCATCTATAATTGCCTTTGAATGGAAGGACATAGTTTAGAATTAAGCCATACAACATCAAGAAAAGATAACTGAAATTCATTGTAAAAAAGATTTCTCAACAATGAATGAGAGAAGATAATGTAGGGAAGAAATTTAGGATTATACTGTATCAATTTAAAATCATAGTCAACATATTGTATTGTACATTGTTGTCTATTAGAGAGTACACTAGTTAAACCACTATGGCTTATGATATCACCTTTTAAGAATCAGTACCATTTAGCCAAAACATGCTAGTAAACAACTAGGGCACAAAGATGACATGCTCTGGCCACATACTTGTTGGCTCTGTTGTATCTTGAGATCTATGTAATTTGCAAAGTCCCAGGTCAGGTTTTGAGTTGTTTTAGTCTCCTGTGCTACTGTTCATGTACAGGGGGTCTGTTGTTAAGATGTTAGCTGTGGTAAACTACAAACAGAAAATTGGTTAAGCCCTAGCTGAAGCTTTCTTTGGAATAGGAAGTACAATTAGAAATATTGTTAGGAATATTGTACTGTGAAAGCTGCTCAATCAAGGCAACAAAATAATAATGTAATCTAATAGTGATCTGTGTGTTTATCTGTTAGGTTGTAAATAATGACAATAAATAATTGTTTGCCTTTTAAGTATGTGCCTCTTTATTGCTACATCATATCAATGTGACAGGGACATAAAGAAATTGTGTGATCATTTGTGGTGTGTAATTGGGTATTTTAAATTGGTGTCAGGAATGTTTTTACTGTTTTTATTAGTATACCTCCATGAGAGGAATGAGAGACGCAAACAAATATCAAAACTAAATATTAATCCTCATGAAGTGCATTAAAAACTTTCTCAGTGTGTTTGAGGACCTTTCTTTAAATAGACTGGCTTACTTGCAAGGGTAGTTTTCTGGAGTTCTGGAATGCTTGTGTGGGTGCTGAGAGCTCCAAGACTGGCATGCCTTTCCAGACTCAGTCACACCAATGGTTCCACGGTAAGCACTACCATCACCGGAGGCACAGGTGAGCTCCGGAGTGATTGAAGGAGGCTTGGTGCCTGAATTAAAGAATTTAAAATATAAACTTTCTCTTAACCCTTGTGGTGTCCAGATAAGACTAGGACATAAGGCCAGTCTAACTTTCAGGCACCAAATCTAAAACATACTGTAGCCCCAATGAGATATAGACTTACAGTACATTTGTGATGTACACATCCTTGATATCCACTGTAGAGAATAAAAATGCAATTAAAAGCCCAGTAACAAAGGCATTCTGTATGTTATGTGTTCTATACATTCTTTTTATCTGTGTCCTACACTGCAAGGGTAAATTGTATATACTGTAGATATTACATCTTCTGAACTGACCTGCAGAGTCCTTGCCAGGCTATTTTTTTCTCTCAACCATGAGGGTTAAATGATGAATAGTTAAGAAAATACTTAATTGACACAGTCACTATAGGTTATGCTTACTGCAGCGTGGGATAGAGCAGAAATCCCAGCGTTTGGCTGGATTTGTAGTGAAGCACCAAGGTCTGGGCTCTCCATCTGGATTCCTGCAGTAGTTTTCATCCAAGTGTTTATCAGGAAGCCTGGGATTCAAAACACACAAAAATATATTTTTATAGGTAAACATAACTGATCAATTTATTCAAAAAGTTGTAGATTGGGGTCTCTGTTTATAGTCATTGAAAATGGAAAAAATGTGTCAAGTTAAAACATATTTTCAGTAAGAATAAAAAAGCAAAAGATATTTAAATTTGATGCAACCAATGAAAAAAGGTCACACCTAATGGAACTGTTTAAAGAGGTCCAGCCCAGGAAAAATATTTCTTGAATCCTAGAACTCTCTCTTCGAAATTCTTGTTGGAAGGTTACCTCATTGGATATACCACTATGGCAAATACCCATAGCTACAGTATATCAGAAGTGTAAATATTTTGGTTAATTTTTAGTTTTGGAGGTTCAGTTCTTCAATTTTGTAAATTTGAATTTTGAATCATGATCCTCAGCTTAGATGTTATGCAATTCTAAACAGGATGAATTCCTTTAGAATTTTCTACCATAGACTTCAATGTATTATGTTGCACATGCTGTCTTATTCTCCTTTGGAAACCTTGGAACTTGTTAGAAAGATCTCAGTGGCTCCTGTTTTCATTCATGTAGGCGAGAAGGTTTGATAAACATTTAATTTGTAGGCCTTATGATTTTTGTATTTTTACTTAAATATCCAAGAATATTAGTGTCTCTGTACAGAAAATGTACAATACAACTTCCATAAGACAAAGCTCTTTTGCTCCATTACCCATTGGTGTGCAGCTGCTAAGGAAAGTAATGGATGGCACACCTATTAGTCATCTAAAACTGAAATTTGAAGCAACAGCTGACTATTCGACAGGAGAATTTTAGTTCAAAAATAGAAATTGTGCAATGCATAAAGATATGTACTGTATTGTAGCAACAATCTGGGTGGAATCTATGCTCTCCAATTGAGGAACATTAACGATGTCTTTAAATCTATCTACCTTTGTTTTTTTTCTGTGTATAATGATTCATTTGTATTTAGATTTATTGTAAGACACACAGATTTTATTTGGGTTTTGTAGTAAATAATACTGTTGTTTAAATGTTTAGAAAAGGGGCTACTTTTGCCAACATCTAATATTCTAGATGAGATTGGTCATAATCCATATGGCTGTGTAGCGGCGAGGCTTATTAATAAGAAAGAATTAAGTGTTCTGAGCTTTCCCAAATGAGGCCCCATCTCTCTGTTCATCTCTGTGGTGCAGCCACAGAGAAACTATTCATGCAGGCTGATTTAAGGTTTCCTTTGATAAGGGACAGCTCCCAAAGGGGGATGCACTTAGCTAAGCCTGGCTATCATGATCAATGGTCATCCATTGGCGCCTATCTGTCTAGGGAGTGCCAGATGGACATCTGGACTGCATTCCTAAGTGTCAGGAGTAAGTGACTCATATCTCACCTTGATCAACCAATCAGGGACTGGTAGGGCCGAGTAACCCATGTGGGACTCTGATGCCCATGGAACTTTCAGCCAATGAACGAGCTGAAGTTCCTCCAGGTAAAAACAGGCAACACAGAAGGCCTGAGAGAATTTCGTAGGATTCTGTGGACTTTTCTTAAGAGAATTCAAAGGAGAATTCCAGGGCAGGCCGGCCCAGGAGCAGAAGGCTCCCAAGGGCAGGACATTCTCGCAGCGCGCCTCCTGACCATCCTGAGACTCAGCCCGGACAACCACGGAACGGCCAGTGTGTCCGAGTGCCAGAACTTTCCTTTGTTCTAAGAGTCTAGAGTGGAGGTTTCCAGAGAGTAACCAGAGGATCCACCAGAGGTTAGCACCAGCAGCAGGCCTCGTGAACGGGTCGGAACTGTGGACAGCTGAACCACTATTCAGAACTAGTGCTTCATCAGGAATGAACCGGTCCTCTTCCTGACTTGCTGGGACCCACAGTCATCTTTTCTCCGGTGCACAAACTTTGCTAGTTAAAGCCAACACTAACTAGCCGGTCAGTGAGCATCTACAGCGCACCGTCGCAAACCGCACAGCACAGCCTGGCACCGAGCCAGAGAGCGCGGATTGGACAGCAACAGCCTGCAACTGTTTCTTTCTGCCCGCAGGAGATCTGAATCCCCAAAGATTGGATGAGTATTCAACTTCAATGCATTACAGCTCGAGAATTCAATTGTTATCCAAACCAGTTTATATCAATTTAATTCCTAAGAGTTATGTACTTGTTTTGAGTATCTAATGTAGAAGTTATAACCAAGTGCATTTACGAAACGGTCTAAATGAATGATATACTGAACGTATGTCCTCTTGATATATGTAACTCTTTGTAACTGACTGAATATATACCTTTTGTATTCTGATAACCCTCTCGATAAGATCTGTTAGGTTTATATGCATATTCTATGTATTAATAAATGTATCCTCGTGTATTAGTACCTGTGTGTGTGCGTTGTTTGAGTTAAATCGCATGGTTGGATTCTAAGGCCATCAAAAGAATCATTTTGTCATTTACTGCTACAATTAATAATTGTCCCAGTAAATGCCCAAACCCTACAGAACTGGTGCCTTCAGAGAGCACACTACAGCTGTAATATCTAAAATGCAGTTTTTTAAAATTGTAAGGAATTTCTATAACTGAAAAACTTAGAAAGTAAGGACTGTACAGTAAACTGACTCAGTTTCACTCTTGCACACTCACATTTGAGGAAGGTATCCATGGCTATTAGGTTTTTGTGAATCCCAGCGCTGACACTCATAGCCACTCTCTGTGATGGATGTTTTTCCTTCGTAATCCTCCCCACTGCAGTGCATACATTCCTCTGTTGAATTTTCAATAGCATTTTAGTCAAATATTCGTTATGATATATGGTTAACAAACACTTACACACGATCATGCTAAGCCTGATTGAAAATGTATGTTTAACAAGCTTAGCTTAGCTTTATACAGTCATTACCAAATCAAAAACAAAAGTAATGGGAATTGCTGTTAAATCAATTATGATAAAGGACATGGATAAATCATTAGCTTTAATAAAAACACTTAAGGTTTACTCTAATTGTACATTTCAATTTGCTTTAAGACATATTTATGATAGTACAACATACAGTAGTGTGAACAACTATTTGCCCCCTTCCTGATTTCCTCTATTATTGCATATTTGTCACACTGAATGTTTTCAGATCTTTAGACAAAATCTAGGATTAGATAAGAGAACCTGAATGAACAAATAACACTTTTATATTATTATTATTTCATTTATTTAATAAACAAAGTTACCCAACACCCATATCCCCTGTCTGAAATAGTAATTTCCCCGTTACACTTAATAACTGGTTGTGCCACCTTTAGCTGCAATGACTGCAACCAAACGCTTCCTATAATTCTTTCACATCGTTGTGGAGGAATTTTAGCGCGCTCTTCCTCACAGAATTGTTTTAATTCAGAAACATTGGTAGGTCTTCGAGAATGAACTGCTCATTTCAGGTCCTACCACGCATCTCTATTGGGTTTAGAGATGATTAGGTTTAGAGATGACTTTGATTAGGCCACTCCAAAACTTTCATTTTGCTTCTTTTCAGCCATTCTGATGTGGACGTGCTTTTGTGTTTCGGATCATTGTCTTGCTGCGCGACCCAACTATGCTTCAGCTTCAGCTCACGGACAGATGACCAGACATTCTCCTTAAGAATTTTCTGATACAGAGCAGAATTAATTGTTCCTTCAATTATGGCAAGTCATCCAGGTCCTGAGGCAGCAAAGCATCCCCACTCCAAAAAGTCCAAAAAGTTCCACTTTTGACTCATCTGTCTATAGAACATTCTCCCAAAAAGCTTTGGGATCATCCAGGTACTTCTTGGCAAATGAGAGACAAGCATTTATGTTCTTCTTGGTTAGCAGTGGTTTCTGCCTTTCTACTCTCCCATTGAGCCCATTTTTGCCCAGTCTCTTTCTGATTGTAGAGTCATAAACACTGACCTTAACTGAGGCAAGAGAAGCCTGCAGTTCTTTGAATGTTTTTTAAGGATCCTTTGTGACTTCCTGGATGATTTTTTGCTGCACCTTTAGAGAAATTGTGGCAGGCCAGACACTCCCCGGAAGATTCACAACTGTTCCAAGTGTTCTCCATTTGGAAATTATGGCTCTCACTGTGGTTTGGTGGAGTCCCAGAGCCTTAGAAATGGCTTTGTAACCCTTTTCTTACTGATAGATATCAACAACTTTTTTCTGATCTCTTCAGGAATTCCCTTTGATCAGGGGATAATGTGCTTGTTGAATCTTTGTGTTGGCAACTTGACTCTGATGGTAAGGGTCAAAATAAGGTTTGTATTCAGCAGGGCTGGATATAATCAAGCCTGGCTGTATTCAGTCAGTTGACTCTAAATTATCCCTTCAATTGGGTTGATTTAACTAAGGGGGCAATTACTAGTACATTAAAAAATGTGTTATTTGTTCACTCAGGTTCCCTTTATCTAATATTAGATTTTGGTTGAAGACCTGAAAATATTTTCAGGTTGACACCTGAAAACAAAACTGTACAATAATAGAGGAAATCAGTAAGGGGACAAATACTTTTTCATGGCACTGTATGTTCCACAAACGTGAAAGTTAGTTTTTATATGATTATGCATAATACAACAACTCACAATATAGTTTTTCATAGTTTGGGCTGTTTCGGGCTGTGTAAAAGAGAGATAGTCAAGTACAATGTTTTCAACTTATGTTTAGCTGGTTCTAACTTTAGGACAATGAAAAAGAAAAAAAATGGAGGACTACAGTTATATCTATATGCTGCATTAACAATGTGAAACCAGTGCTTTCACATAATTCCCAAAATATTTAACTAGAGATTTCACAACACATCAAGATATTTTGCTAAATATGTGAAATTCCCATTTATACATTTAGGGATGGTGGGAAGTCTCTTGTTTCAATTATTTACCAGTACATATAATACATTCAGGAACAACTGTTTTCAAATACATCTTTAAGATAGGTTTAATACTACAGTATATATGCTATAACAATTTGTATAAAATCATATCTATATAATATTATAATCTCCCACACAGAAACAGTAAATCACTGTAAAACACAATCATTTCACTAAAGCAAGCCAAAATATAACGTTTTTGGAACGTTGATAAAAATGTACTGTAAATTATCTATTATAATGTGTCTTTTTCAATTTTGAATTAGTGCTATATGCATACCTTGTAAGTTAATTCTATTTTCTACGAAAATGTTGGATTTAGGTCATATAATTTCCTGATTCCTGAGTACCAGTAGGTTTAGACAAAATGACAGTCTGAAACTTATTTCCCAGAAGGCAAAGGGAATGAACTGTAGCCCTCAGTCACCTGAGTCACCTACATGGAAGATGACCATGAAACTTCAGGTGGCTGAGGGCTACAGTTCTTTCCATTTGCCTTCTGTGAAATATAGTTTCAGACTATATTGTCATTTTGGCAATCTAAAAAAGTTTAGCTATCGCTCAAACAGAGCTAGGTTTTTGTTTTATTACTTTTGTTATAAAAGTGTGACTAAAGCCTTTTTACATCTGTACCTAAAGGGAGCTTTTCATGTGCAAATGTCCCTTAGTCAAGTTATCCCATGTAGAGATCTTTCACATTACAAAATGTGCAGTGCTTTCAATTTCACAGGGTTCTACCCTTATGTGTATTTCACATACAGGAGGGGACCCACTTCATCTACCACTGCAACACTGACCTGGGTGACATGCAGCAGATGTTTGTTGTGTGGGGAGTTCTGCTACACATCAGATCAGGCAGGAATGTGATTAATTTCACCAACTTAATTAAAGGGGAAATTTAGCAAGGCCAGGTAGAGTATGTTCAGAGTGGAATTGAGCTTGGATGCTGGGGTTGACACCCCAGTTCTTATGAATAATGCCATATGATCAGTCATCACCAAGCAGTCAGTTTAACATCTGTTCTGTTGAGGAATTGGTTAGGAAAATCAGACGTTTTTCAGAACAAAAAGTGTCACCTACAGCAGTGACCTCATTTTCCTAGAGATGGGCCCAACCATTGCTTGCTCCTGAGATCAGGCTACAAGGTGGTACCACTGCTGTCCTTACCAAAGGGTACTTACTACAGATCAGAGATAAGTATTCAGTTCAAACCTGTGTTTTGTTTGTTTGGAATATTGATAACAAAAAGATAATAAATTACATGTTAAAATCTAAGGACGTTATCACAATTGGAGCTGTTTAATTACTTTATACAGTACACAGTATTTTTTTTAGATAATTTGACTACCTTTTTTCAAGCTCTTCTTCTTTTCTAATAACATTTAAATTGGATGTTTCAAAGTCATGGGATGATGTTGTAAAGATTCCCCAGCTTGTACATTACAGTTGTGAAAGTATAATGGATGAGTGGTTATACCATCACAGTCCTGGATAGAACAGTGTTCCCATCTGACACCAAGATCGGTGGTGTAGCACCAGGGACCCTTAGAATCTCCATCAGGGTTTCTACAGAAGTTTGACTCCAGATCAGCATTTGGGTGTGTGGTTGGATTGACACTGCAAAGTTATCAAATATAGAAAGAGATGACTAAGCAAAAATGCATTACTGTCAGTAGGTTTTGTGCTCAACTCCTGGAATATTACTCCCTGTGACAATGTAAATGGGAACAAATATGACACATGACATTCTTTAGTAATATATACTCATATACTGTATACACCTGGAAAAGTATTTCTCCAAAGTTACTTACATTTTGTCCTTACTTATTTTTTGTTACTTATTTGTTAATAGTAGGTCCAGTTGTCTATTATTACTCTAACATTGACAAGACACGTGAACTTGAATTCTTCATGAGCAGCAATGGCTAAGGTGATGCCATTATAGATCTTCAAGGAAAAGACATTATCGGGGTAACACACACTCCAGGACCATAATATCTGTGCATTTATTTAACGTGCAAGGCAGAAAAGGAGAGAAATTCAAATAACAGCAAATTTCAACCTGGGGCCCAAACACCCAGTTTTATCAAAAATTGTCTACCCAGAACTCCACAGAACAAGACAATATAGTCTGGTTGCAGGATAATGTAATCTGGATGATGAATGTACAAACCAATCATCATACCAGTGATATCTGTTTGTGAGTCCAGTGGTACAAAAGAGCACTGGCAATTGACTACTAAGCAGTGGAGAAATGTAATATGGTGCATTGAATAATCTTTCACTTTGTTCTCGGCATAGTTCTTGACACATGGTGCACCAAAGGAACTCTAGAGCCCTGAGCTGTTGGTTCCAATAATGAAGGGATCTGGTGGTCCAATAATGTAGGGTGCATTTTACTGGCATGGATTGTGTGCACTCGTTCCCCAGAAAGTAAGTCAATGTTAATTGCAACTCAATGATACATAGTGATCATTTTCATCCACCATTGCCATATTGCAGTATTTATCTTCTGCTTGGAGGAGTACCTTCCACAGAGCACTAAATTGCACAATGCTTTGCAAAGAAAAATAAGAAATCCACCCATCATCTAACAATCCAGTGACAGGAAGTTGCTTGTCCTTTTTTGCGCTACAAGTTAGAGCATATTCTGGAATTACAGTGTAAGTGCAAAGTAGGACAAAAAGCATAGCATTGATCTAGCTATGGACAGGATGTCTGTCAAAGCAATAACTCATTGCAGGAGTTAAGGAGGTGAGTATACTATCAGTAGTGCCAGTAGTATCAGTATACTATAGTAAATTGGATATTTGAGATTTTAAAAAGGTATGAATTAGAGGAGAGTTAGAATTACTACTAGATCTTTTATTCCAGGTGAATTCACACTGAAATCAGGTTACTGGTTTTAACAACATGGCTGAGAAGCTTGTTCTATACAGACAAAACAATTTCTTGGATTTAACTAAAAATTCATATTATATGACATAATGTTATAGATATAATACTTTTAAATATTGCTTAGAGAGAAAAGTGTACTTAGGGTTGTGTGGGTAGGTAGATGCCCATCTTTGGCATTTCTTTCCTGATACTGTTGTAGATTGTGTTCCTCTGTAGCTTTCACCATTGCCAGTCTTACACTCCACCAAGTACTCTGAAAAATAAATAGTAGCCATATTTCCATAGTGAGATCTGTGAGGACAACTAATATAAAACAACCATCAATTTAGCAAACAAAAATCATCCATTGACTCTATGAAAACATTAAGACCTGTATAAAGCTTTGACATTTCAGCTCGAATTCAACATGGTTTTATATTATTTTATGGCTTTCCACTTATCTTACAGCTTTCATAATTAAGCAATTCTATACACTTACTTATCATTACTATTAATTTATTCCCAATTTAGTAATGAGCTAGTAAACCTGGTCTAAACTATGAATTAGTAATATTTTCCAACAGAAATAATGAAAACATTTTTATTTTCAATAGATACTTGTATACTAACAGTAACATTGATTAATAATGTTCTGGCCTTACTGTTTTGAGGCTTCTTCTAATGTTTTAATGTAATTAAACCAAGTGTTAGTTTTCTACATAGTCAACAGAAATTTAGAACATAAACAAGTGAAAGAATGTTCTTCAGTAAGTCAAATCCTGACCTGTTTGTCAGTGCTGTTTATTTAATCTCAAATTTCAAACTTTACAGACTCGTGTTTGTTTATTTTTCAAATCTGAACCCAAAAAAGTCAATGCCTGAGAGGTTAAAAATTTACAGATTAAAAGGAGAAGGTTTCTTCGACTGATCCATAAAGACAACCTTTTTTCTATAAGAATAATTTATTACATTAAAAATACAGTACTTTGCCCTAATGAAGATCAAAGTATTTCATCAGTATTTTTCCATCAAGTAGAATAAATTAGAATTTCATTGTTATATGATAACCATTCCCTGTATGCAGTTTTATTCCAACTCTACTAAACTACAGGTACAAAGGCTGACTAGTTTAAGCAACCTACCAGAAATGATGAAAGTTCAAAGTTCTAATGCATTTTTTTAGAGGTGTGAGTGTGCGTACGTATGTGCAAAAGGAATGTCACAATTGCACAGCCAGCCATGTCTATTTGAAGAGATAAACAAGTACTGTATAACAAAATGATTCAAACAATGACTCTCAGATATAGATAATGGAGGATATTCTACTCTGGTTCTGGAAAAAATAGTGTTTTTACTTTCATTCTAACTGAGCATTTCAATCATTTAAATATATCACTTATTAGCTCAATTACTGAAGAAGAGAATGGCATATTTCGAGATATTGCATACTGCAGTTTCAGCAAAGCACTTGCAATCCAGATACAGGGCAAAGCAGGAAACTACACCAGTACTCACTGCACTGAGTAGAGCTATGGATACACACTGGCCTGAGCGGCATCTGAGAAATTTTCTCTTTCACCTTGATTCACCCCTGCCAACATTATGGGAATAATCGATCCACAGAACAGCATAAACGATGAACAGCGGATGTGGGAATGCATTCTTCATGGTCTCATTTGTTCACCTAACTTAAAATAATTGTATTGCTCCGTGGCTTATATTTTTTTGTAAAATACAATACTGTACAATGAAACAATTAGCTTTAAGCACCCTGTACTAAGATCATACTAAGTTAGTGGGGGCTATGGTGAAAATATTTAATCGCGGTAGACATACGTGGAATCAACCTACTACATCTTTCACTGTTTTTCAAACAAGCAATAGAATTCACTTATTAGTAAATTTAAGGTTCTGCTGTTCTCACGTTGTAATCCAAATTTGGTGCAGCATAACAATAGCATTTTTTATAGTAAGAGGCACAGATGGGGATATTCATAACTACTTCTTTGAACTTGTATCTCTATTACTTTATAATCAAATGGTAGTTGGTCCTCACTGAAGTATTCTCTTTCAATAACCTTTTTTTACCAGCAGGTTAGTAGAGTTGCCATGGTCACCAGAAATGGACCCAGCTATGCCAACATTTTTGTCGGCTGGGTAGAAGAACGCTTCTTCACTTCCTACACTGGCTATGTCCCTGACCTCTACAAACGATATATCGATGACTGCGTCGGTGCCGCCACATGCTCCAACGATCAGCTTGAATTCTTCCTGCACCATTTCACCAACTTCCACCCGTCCCTCAAATATACGGTTAACATATCTTCCACCACTCTTCCATTTCTAGACATCCACTTGTCTATCAACTACCCCCGACTGTCCACTTAAGTTTATTACAAACCCACGGATTCACACAGCTACCTCCTGTACAGCTAATTTCACCCCAACCATACTAAAAACTCTCTTCCTTTTTCACAGTTCCTTAGGTTACGACGATTATGCAGCGACAACATCGACTTCGAGAACCAAGCCCTCGAAATGTACTCATTTTTCATCAACAGAGGATACCCCAGCAGTGTGATTGACACGGCCCTTGTCCAAGCCAAAAACACCCCCCGGACCATCAACCCGATCAGGAACTCCCGCCGTAACAGCCGCATTCCTTTGGTGCTTCCTTACCACCCTAACACACTTCCTATCCCCAGGACCATTAACCACAACTTTTCCATCCTACAGGATGATCCCTCCATTGGGGCCCTCTTTTCTGATCGCCCTATCATCTCATATCGCCGACCACCTAATCTGCGTAACCTCCTTGTTCACAGCTCCCTTGACCGCCCTCATCAACCATCCACACCAGGCACTTTCCCTTGCAACAGAGCTCGCTGTATCACCTGCAAGTACACAGCCACCACCACACTCATTCAAGGCCCCTCAGGACAATTCCGGATCACCCAAACAGCATCTTGTACCTCCAGCAACCTTATTTACTGTATCTCTTGCAGTAAATGTCCAGCCATCTACATTGGAGAAACAGGAAGGAGACTCGGAGACTGCTTCAGAGAACATGTCAGGGATGTGAAGATTACAGATCTCTCCAAGCCCATTGTTTCTCATTTCACCTCTGACGGCCACAACCACTCTAATCTCTCCGTCTGTGTTCTCAAAGACGGTTTTCCGAACTCATACATCAGAAAGACCACCGAAACTAAAATTATACTGCAGCTAGGATCACACATTGTCCCTTCCCTTAACGACAGACTACTGTTCTTTTAAATTTTCTCCATTCATTGGAAGTTTCATTTCACACCTCTCTGCACCCATTCTGACTTCACACCTCTTGATTGGCCTCTCTTTCTGTCCCCTGCTCCCGCCTCTCACTCCTCCTCCCTCCCAACCTTTGTTCTCCCGCTACTTTACCTTTGCCTACTGCCCTGTCTCTCTGACACCTGAAGAAGGCTCCACAGCCGAAACGTTGTGTTCTCTTTCTTCTTTTTTTCAGCATGGAATAAACCTATTACTTCACCCAATAAGTATTTTGTTTGTTAAATATTTAACATTTGTTTATGAATGTACAGTTATTTCTTGGCTACTTAAACAAATCACATAGCTTTTGAAAAAGGGGAAAGTAAAAAAATCTCACTTTATGCCACAAAATTGAAAAAAATAACATTGTTGTTACCGAGTTCTTTTAGTTTTACATTTTGTATATAAAGAAATGCATTTTTTATTAGTAGGTATGGATACCCATTTCTGTTTAAAGTTTCATCAGGCTTGGCATAAAGCAAAAAGGTGTATATCCCAATAGTCTTCACGAGGCATTATATAATATGCAATGTAAAATTTGTCAGACAACATCAGTCAATGTTAACCAATGTTCATCTGCATGGTTCAAACCTGTACATAGAGTTATAAAATTAAATACCTTCCACTGCTGAGGATAGTCTGGGTCTGAGAGGGTAACTATTTTTGAGTTATTTAAAGACCATTTGTCATAAGTCAATGTATTGGAATCAGAGTGATTAATATAACACTGACAATTCGGCAATAAATCTGGAATTTATCCAATTTGGATAAATCTGGAATTAAGAAAAAATAATGGAAGTAAATACTTTAATATCTGACAATATAAGATGAAAGTTTTATCTCAAACTGATGATGTAAACAAGTCTCCTGTGACTTTGATAGTTCCATAATATGTAACATGGCCTCTACTCTTTCAAATGTCGTTAGGTAAATATTTTTATTAAAGACAATATCTTTATTTTCAGGTGGGTATTAATGTTTCATTTCACCTCACAGTGTCGCATTCTTTAAGGTAAGACAATGGGTATTCTTAGTGGTGGTTGCTTAGTTTATCCTAATCTTGTCTGTGAGGCAGTCAATATGGCCAGATAAAACTAATTTATAACTAGGACTAATCCAATTATGTCTAAGCCATCAATCACCTTTCTTGGAGAAAGAACACATCTAACCAATTTTGTGATGCACTGTGTGGAATAGGGAAAATGGTCCAATTCATTAGAATCCAGTTTAGGAAGTAATCTTATCCTGAGAAGGATCTAAAGGGCGGAGCGGTGGCTTTGTGGCTAAGGATCTGCGCTTGTGACTGGAAGGTTGCCGGTTCAAATCCTGCAGCTGGCAGAGGAATCCTACTCCGTTGGGCCCCTGAGCAAGGCCCTTAACCCTAACTGCTCCAGGGGTGCCAGACAATGGCAGACCCTGTGCTCTGACCCCAAGCTTCTCTCCCTGTGTCTGTGTCTCCATGGAGAAAAGCTGGGGTATGCGAAAAGATGCATTCCTAATGCAAGAAATTGTATAGGGCTAATAAAGAAACATTATCATTATCTTTATTTTCCAAAAAAACCTGGGTTTCTCTTTTACCTTTAAAATATTTGTGTGTCAGTTACAGGGTAGAATGTAGAAAGTAAGGTAGAATGTAAGGTCCTGATACTCAGTTATAGAAACATCTGTACAGAACAGAAGTGTGCCCTTCTACGAATACATTTGTTCATTATGTAAAGCTTGGTTGTTTCACTATTACACTGTTCTGTTACTGTTCTTTATTCCCGGACAATAGGGTGTGTAAGTGTTAACTATTATTGGTGTAGAACATTATATTTCAACAGTATGAGGAATGTTGTTAGTTAATTCTTTGGCCAAATCCTGAGTGAAATGTCCATTTAATGCACCAGCCATTTCAAACATCCATTGTTAAAAGAAGACACAAGGAAAAGAAAGAACAGGGATCTCAAGCACCATATAAAAACTCAAAAGACATTTGCTTCACAGGAATCCAGATAATTGTGATGATATAAGATGTAAGCCTAAATACTGAAAAATCAGAAACAGAACAAAATACATACTGTATACTGTACATAAATTCAAAATGATACAAAATATATGTTATGAGAACATCCACCTGGACTTAAGATATTGGATTGATTCAAATCTCCTGAAGGCCTTATTAAGTACCAATGTATTTTGGACAGGTATTTATCACCACTGTCAACAGTAGTTAGTCGTTCATAATTCAAGGAAGTACAGACCAATCCTTATTCAGTTTAAGAAAGTTCTCATGATTGTATGATTATCCTATGTAAATGTATTTCCAGCTTTATTGTCTTACTTTTCTTTTCATACAAAACTGTGTCCATCCTTCGCAGCACTGTGTCTGTTTTTCCATTTCCTGGTAGCGTTATGCAGATTTGGTCTTTCTGAGTAAAGCAAAAAGACCTAGAATCACAAGAATAAAAAAAAACAGTTTTCTCCAGTTTAAAAGCAGTCATACACAAAATCACCCAAATTATAATTACATTTGATTTTAAAAAGGTATTCAGAAATTCTTTGATATGCATTTATTGTGTCTCTATACAGAGATCTACTAATGATGTTATGCTTAGAAACTATAAATGATAGAGTAAATGAAACATTATTTGATATAATACTGCAACATTATAAAAAGAAATTCAGATTATGCTCTAGATTTAAGTACATATACTGTTTTTCTTTTGCATCTAATGCATTTTGAATTCTTACTCATTTGGGAAATAAATGTGATGTTATTTATACATTTATAGTCACTTTCACTATAAATATTTCAAATATTTTACAGTCTCTTTCACTGTAGTATTTTTAAATGTCTGTCCAGAAGTAAAAACCTACAGATGGATGGAAAAGTAATTTTTACCTGCAAGTAAATGAGGATTCAGTTTCACATTTCTGTGCACATTCAATGGCTGTGTTAGTTGTGTACTGTCTCTTAATAATGGATAATATCCAAGCCCCTTCAGTTTTAGTATACTCATCTAAACTCATTCTGCTTTCTAAAAAGGGAAAAAAAGAACGATAAGAAAACATAATACTATACAGTATTGTACAGAAAATCTTGATTTGCATTTTTGTCAATTATATCTTAACTTGTGCTTAACAGGTCAATAATACTTTTTGGCAGACGCAAATCTTGAAGGTTGAAATTCTATTTTAAGTGATAACGGGAAGATGTTACAATTCAGCCAAAGAAAAAAAATATACATCCTGGATGACCAAAGTGCACACTCAATGCTATAAAACCTGTGACTTCAGAGCTAAAAAAATATTTTTGGGAATGCAATGTAAGGGCTTTTCAAACCCTGGATCAGGTAAGAGAAGCCTGGTTGTTTTCATAGGCCTTAACATTTTTGACTTTATTAATATTAGGCCTAACAATAACATATCTTAAAAGCAATCTTTATTTATTTACTTTTAAACAATACATTATTTACAAAATTACAATTTACATATTTATTTACATATTACATTATTACATTATACAATATTTTAGAACTATAACATTTGGTTCTCATGTTCTTATGTTCTGTTTCTTAATAGGGGAGTACAGCGGCACAGTGGTTGTCATTGCTGTTTAACAACTGTGGGGCCCTAGTTCAATTCTGGGCCTGGGATACTATCTTTGAGAAGTTTGGATAAGCTCCCTGTGTTCATATGGTTTTCCTTCTACAGCCTAAAGACACACTGGTAAGTTAATTAGTTTCTGGGAAAAGTGGTGTTGGTATGAGTTTGTGCATGCTTATATCTATGTGTGCCCTGTGATGGACTGGCCTTCCACCCAACGTGTATCCTGCCTGGTGCTCATTGATTGGAGGGATTGCTCTGGCTCCCCCCTGACCCTATATGTGATAAAAGACTGAGAAAATTGATAGATTTTTCTTATTAAACATTTGGTAATTGAACATGAAAACGTGTATAGAATGAAAATTATAACTAAAAACATGATTTGAAAGAAGTAAATATGATGAAAGTACAGTATTGAACAGATCTGTGTGAATCCATCATTCAAAGGACTTGAAAGCAACCAGATTTCAAAGTTTAACAACTGCTAAGTACATACAGTATGTAATGACCTGTTGCTGAGGTGGAACTAGCAGCAGATCTATAAGGCATAGAGTGAGCCCAAGTGCTAGCCAAGGGGCAACTGAGACATAAAAACTTGCAGGCAGCACACACATACGGAACTGTGCAGACAACTACGCTGAGCACACAGGCAGTGTTGCTGTAGACATCTCTCAGACGTACAGCAGTGCGTGCAAACTGACAGTGTGCTATGGCAAGAAAGACTACCAAGAAAGAAAAAACTCCAAAATCCTGGTCAAGCAGTGAAAGCCAGTGAAAAGTGCAGTCCAAAGCACAAAGGGGAATCCAAGAGTCATGGTCAGAGTGAAGAGTGATACTCACAGGCAGGGTCCAAAGCTAAGAAAGCACAGGGAAGTAACAAGCATAAGGGGTGATCCGGGAGACAAGATGCAATGCAAAACAGAATTCCGAATTTCCAACAAAGCACCTGCAAGGGAACAAAGCTAGAGAAACACAGTAACAACACACCCAAAGAAGGCTCCACAGCCGAAATGTTGTGTTTCTTTTCAGCATGGAATAACGCTTTATTTGTTCCTTTTTCTTTTGTCAACATAATATAATACTCTATGTGCAGAATATTCTGAACAAAGCTATTGCCGGAAGAACCACGTTCCCCTTTTGTCTACCTTGTGGACAGACCCCAAGAGGACAGATCATGCACAGACTACTTTTAAACACTGATGTCAGTAAGATGCTACTTTCGCAGAGCTGCCTGAGCTTCAAGCTCTTTCTCTCTCTCTTCAGTCTGCAGCAGCACCCTCCCATCACAGAGCAGACCAAGCAGCCATGGACCAATTTGCTAAGCACTGTTTTACCAGCATGAAGTTTTACTCGTGAAGGATGTGTGGCCAGTGGAAGACAAAACAGGGGCTAAAGAGAGTGAAGGAACACAAAGGTCATGCTGCATGAATCTGAAGACTGAGAAGAGGAGTTACTATATGACAGAATATGTGTACAGAATATGGTTCCCAAGTAAATACATGAGAAAGTTCCTTATTTGGCGCAACATCAATACATCCTAGAGGCACACTTCAGCTTTTGAAGAACACGTTTGTGGTACAATCAAAGTAAGAGATGCCCAATCAGTTGTATAAATCAAGAGTCATAGACATGCAAACATGAATTCACGTCTGCAACCAAGTTCAACATAGTGCATTATATCACTTATGCATTCTAAAGGCTAGATACACTTAAGAATTTTAAAAGTGACAGTTTGGGAACATCACCAAAAAGGAGTTGCACTGTCTGAGAATTTTGAGGAACCATGAAATGATTCAGACTAGAGACTAGATTAACATGTAAGACTTGCTGATGCTTATAGGCATGTGTAAGGGATTTAAAATCAGAGCACTAGATGGGCATTGGAAGGACTACCAGTAGAACAAAATCTCAAGTAAAGGAAAGGACAGGCAACAGAATAGATTGCTTGTGAGAATAGTGGTGTAGGAGCTCAGTTTTGTGAAGGGTGGGTGTCTGGAAAAGAGGGGCTTTGATTCATAGATGCTAGGTTGAAGAAGGAGGAGGGAGAGGTTTCCTCCATAGTTTGGATGCCTTCCAGGATAGGGGCTATGAACTATGGTCCAACATCAAATTTCAGGGCTAAGAAATGGAGCAACTATAAGGTCGTGTAGGAGCGGTTGGGGTAATTGACTTTATGCCAGTACATACACAAACTGGGAGAATTTGGGGCACAAAGAAGGTATGAGAAATAGGTGCATAGGTGGGACAAATGTACCAGGGCCAGAAAATAGGCATCAAAATTAACAGGGTCCTACAGTATATTAAAAAAGCCAGTATAAGCTGTGGTTTTGCTGAATTCATAACACAGAAAGCAGTGTTTATGTTGGCTTGGAAAGGAATGTTAGATAGTAAAGGACAGGAGTGCAAATAAAGGGGGAGGGGGGGGTTGGTGGAGCCTGACATATAACAGACTTGATGGCCACGCTTGAATTACAAACTATAAGAGGAGACTGGAGAGGATTGGGGGGGAAGACTGAGACGGTAGTAAGAATAGACTTGAAAGCAACAGGAAGTATTGTTTTTTATTCTTTTTGCAGGCAGAGCGGGAGAAGGGGTAGCCTTGATTGTGCAAAAACACTATATTATCCTTCATAGCAGGAGGAGGTAATTTGAGGGTAGACACCTTTTGGACTTTTTGGCAAATAAAGAATTAGTTCAGAGTTGTGTTTTTAGTGCTCAGATTTCATCCATCAAGTTGAAGCATTCACAACAACAAATTTTAGTCAAGGATGAGAAGGAGATGAAGCTGATACACAGAGTCCAAAAGCTTCAGGAGGTTCCACAGGTTCCACGAATACACCACAGGGCTCTAGAGATCTAGGCTAGAGCAGTGGTTCCCAACTCTGATGGCGGGCAACCATGGTGGGTCTGTTGGTGTTCATTTCCACTGAGCTGGCAATCACAGGTGTTAATTGATCTTCTTGCAAGGGCAGACTTTTGTTTACTCGTTTCTTCATTCAGTTCTTGTTAAATAGTCTAGTTCAGGTGTATTTTTTTCTCTAAACATCAGCATCCTACGGAGCTTTTTGCAGTCTTTCCTTTTCTTGCCGTTAAGTACATTGTTATTTCAATCAATTTCTGATGAACAGATATCAGAAAAGTTGGAATGACAATGTACAGTATTAAACATCCTCACAGTATTTTTCTTTCAGCAAACGGCTGATTGGTTACATTTCAGGTTACGCAACTAAATGGAAGGAGCTCTGAAACTGAGAAATTGCTAGAAAGTTGAAACCAGTTCTAAATCCCATTAACATTTTTAAGTGCTGAATACAATTTCTTTTACAAATAATGCCCCAAATGGATAACTGAAATCAATTAGCCTGTGATTTGGAACTTGGCTGGAATAAAATATATATATATAAGAAACAGTGGCATATTTAGTAAACCAAGGCTGGGAGCACATGTCCAAAACCTTGATTAATACTCAGGACCTGTGACTCACAGTTAATGGGGCCTGTTTTCCTTATATATTTTTTAAAGAACCTGTTAAGTCAGAATCTTCAAATATCTATTACAACAACACCAAGTAAATTACACATGAACATACATATGTTAGATCCTTACATGTATACAGCTAAAAGTCTACTTTTAATGTAACATATTGCAGAGATATCAGGATTAAACATTTGGATTAAATAAAATAGCTAAAGTTTAAGCAGAAAGTCATTTAACAATTATGGCTCGAAATAAAAAAAAGAACACTGCTGACTGATAGAAAAACAATGCAAAACACCTGAAAACTCTGGTATGTCTACATTAGTGTTTGTATAGTATGTCATGTTGAGGGGCGATTGCCAAAAAATTGTTAATTGGAAAAGTGAGGTCTCAACCCATGTAAAAAACTATCTTTCTCACATGAAAATATGTATACCATGAAGAACACACTTTTAAACAATGAAATTAAAGGGAGATAAAATAAAAAATGTACCTACCTTGCATGACCTGTTGTCCACTGAATGCTGGGAGTCCTATCAATGGTAAGAGAAAAGGGTTAAAGTTAATGAGTGCAGACATTTTTTTCCAATTAGAGTACATCTGAAATACATAGCATTTCATACCATTTTGGACCCTGAAATAGGAAGTTAAATTACAATATTTCTTTTAAGAATAGAAGATTGGAAAGTCTAGGAGAGATTTTTCTGTTTCAATTTAAGAAAGAGGATCTTTGTGCAATTATAACAAATATAATGGCAAATACAATTATAATTTCTGTTTTTTCATCTGTGACGCTTCTTTTTACTATGTTTAGACAAGTGCTTTTAAGCCTCCAATTCCATGATATTATGGCATAATGCAATTGAATTGTACTTACTGAGCTATTCCACTTCAATGAACGGTATTTATTTTGGTTGGAAGAAAATATCAAAATACTTTTTTTTAATTGAAACTTGTTAAAATTGTTAGCTGTTCTGACTAGAGTACAAAGATTACAGGATGAGACTGTTGAAAATCTAAGTCAAAACTAGGTACATCCACGTCCTCAACAGTTGTCCTGCAATGCTTTAAGAGCAATTTTTTGCACAGAATTAGTAATTACTTATAAAATAATTAACAGCAACCCCCCTTCCCATGAACTACATTATTATCTAAATAACTGATAATAATCCTGATAATAAAGCAATTGCTAAAAAATTCACATTTACAATCATATCCCAAGGATGGCATTTTTTGTAAAGTAGGGCAGTCTAAAGCAATCTAAAGACTAGAGAACAGCAGCATCCCCTAAACTGATCAGATCAGAATTCACTTTCTAGTTACAGATACCCTACTACTAAACACAGTGACCTTTGACAATTTTGATGCAATTCAAAAATCTTCACACTGTTAAATGCACAGTACTTATAATTAATACTAAATTGGCTGTAAACTAAAACACATTCAAAATTTTTTTATAGATGTAGTTGTACTACTCTTCTGTATGTCTCATTGTGTGACATAACTATATATAACTCTAATTATTTGATCAAAACTCATCATAAGAAGAGGTTCTGCAATTAGTTACTGTCTAATTTGTACAGATTAAGCCGCAGACAAAAGTAATAGAAGTAAACCAGACTCCTTTTATTTGAAACATTTATTCATTAATACTTTTAGTTCAATTATCATTTCACTAAATTCCATTAAAATGAACATTAATATCAAAATAAAATCAGCATTAATTATTTTGAATATTAAAGCTGGTGTACAGTATTAAGGTAGCAATTAAAACACTAATATAATGCTAGTCTTATATTCCTTCCTTTGTCTATAACTTTATCAATAATAGAGATTTAGGCTAATCAGAGCAGTATAGTTATAATATGAACTGACCAGCCTTTTGTTGTTGTTTTGATCTTCACTTCATCTGGTACCTCCAATCCATTGCTAAGAACTAAGATACTCAAAATATCTGAACAAGCTGTCTCTTTCCCTTTCCTTTTTTCGGCTTTACAAATTTCCTTGAAACATTCTATTGTGTGGTGTACTTATCACAGCAGGACATACCCACATAATCAAACCTTGGTGTGATTTCTGCTCTTCTTATTAATATAACAAAATAGTTTAATATGAAGGTAACTTGTATTGTTCTATCCAACTAAATTTCACTAAATGCGTTTGTATAGATCCATCTCCTAATCCCTCAAGAACAGGTTACAAGATAGGACTGCACTCCAGATGGATCTTCAGTTCCTCCCAGGCACATACTGTACATGCATACTGGGGCAATTTAAATGCCAATTAACATAGACAGCATATCTTTGGACTGTGGGTAGATAACAACCCAAAAATATACAGGGACATGCGGAAAACATGTAATCTCTTATTTTTTTCCTCTGATGTGTTTTCAAATATTACACAAATACTAGACATTAGAATACTGGACAGATTTCAGTGTATTTACAAGGCAGAATGCCCTGGTATCTTGAAACATGAAGAACACAAGTATTATTTTGATTTCTTTTCTGACTTTAGCTGTCTTTAAACTACTTTGAAATGAGTTTGAGATATCCCTGTAGCAGCCAAACTTGTGTTTGAACTCTGTCCAGAACATACAGTACTTACTGTCCTTCAATGTTTACAGGAACAGGAGTGTGTTGATGACCCAAAGGTACATTTATTTAGGGGTCTGTCACATATATGGAGCCTACTGAGGATGTAACACTAGAAGAGCCTCAGGATTAACAGTAACCTTTGTCCAAAAAGCTAAAGCTACTTTGTGTTATAATCAAAATGCTTGAATAATTGTTTTTGACCTATTTTTAAATATTAGGCATTATGTATCTATACATTTTCAATAGCTGCTAATAGTCTAGTAGTCATGCAAAATGTTTTTCTAAAACAAGCAATTTATTGGTGCAATCTAAATGAAATACTTCGCTCAAGGGTGTAATAGCAGTGCATCATTTCATGTATGTATCTGTCATGCACATTAAGGACAGACATTTCAAATTAATTCTCAAATGTAAGTTTTCACTGAATTGATATGTATTAAGAAATCAGAATATTTCCCAGAACAAATTTGCCTGAATCAAAAATTTAAATCTTGTAAAGCATATTCAGCACCTTAAACAACATGATAATAATAACATTTACCTTACTCTTATATGTAACTATGATTTGATTCACACTTATCAACATCTCTGTGCAAATTCTATATACAACAATTTGAAATATTATCAGTTAAAACTGAGAATCCTTTTGATTTCCTTTAATCAGGTTTTTCATCACTGTAAACTGATACCTTTACAGCAGTTTATGTTAAAAAATATCTAGTGCTTACCTGAGTATAAGAGAGTGCATATTAAAAGGGCTATTTTGAGAACTGCCATTTTGGCACTAATATGCAGCACTTTCAGGATCCCTAGCATGTTTTGAGCCTTTATTGGAACAGCCAGTAAGACAAACAGATTGATATCACTAGTAGTCAATCATTCTCCTGACAAGGACAGAGAGAAAAGTGGGCTTTGAACCCGAGGACATCTGGTTAGAACTATGACTTAACCTTCATGTGAAAATTATTGCTTACATTTTTTATGGACATAATATCACTTTTTAACATAAAACATAATGATAAATCTATTAAATTAAATTTTAATGTCTTCTGCCAAACTATATGAAGATTTCCAAATTCAAAGAGCCAGAAGCCATTAAGAAATGTCAGAAGACAAGGTTTTGTGCTGTGTACAAAGGTTTTCATCAAGAATCTGACATTTACTATACAATTTACTATACTATACATTTAAATGTTTGAATAAATTTTATCTATACCTTTATATCATAAAATCATCATATGGTATATGAAGATGTCAAATATCTTAAACTCTGACTTACAAATTGTAATACAAGAGTTAAGCAGAATGTGACAAAAATTTATTGGAAATGTAAGATGTAATCCTTTGTTCTTTTCATAACAATATTCAACCACTTGTGTATTGAAATAATGCTTTCTAGTGTATTTCTATTTCCATGTATATAAAGCACACATTTTAGAAATATCAGTATTACTTTGGAACACAAATAACTATTCATACTTGTTTTACTTTAAAGTAATCTCACAAGTAACAGGCTAGCACTGTTTGAGCAGTGTTTAAATCAATAGTTTAATAATTAACAGAGAAAAAACTTGCTTTTTTTACACATAAAACAATTAGAATTCTTAAAGAATCAAAAGGATAGTAAATAATACCATTTTGATTGGAACAGTATCATTTTGACTGAAACAGAGTTCATTCAGTTGTTACCGACCAAAACAAGGGCTTATAAATAAATTGGCAATAGTCAGGATCCCAGATCCATAACAGTTACTCCATACTACTGCCTCAATTAAAATATATCTTTGATTAATTCAACCAAATTAGAATTTCTAGAACAATATATGAATTATTTATTTATTTTTAAAAGTTTTAAAAATCATGTTGAATATCTAAAGAGAACTGTCTAGCAGCGACTGTTCTTTGTTTGCCAAACTAAAAGATTTTTTAAAAATCATATAAGGCAAGGTATTGATTAAATATGTGTATAAAAACCTTGACTGGTTAGTGCATACTGCACAGCCATGTTGTAACCTGGTTATACTGTATGCATAAAAACAGCAAGCCTTTGTCTTTAGTACCTGTAACTCTTACATCTCAGATTTTTCTTCTACCACTTCTTCCAATTCAGGGTTGCACGGGGCCCAGAGCAACAGGCTCAAGACAGGGCACATAAAGGATGGGACAATAGTCCATTGACACACATAAAGTATAAAGCACACACAGACATTCACTCTGGGACCAGTTTGTCCAGCAGCTAATTAACCTGCCAGTATGTTGATGGACTATAGGAGGAAACTTATGTTAACATGAGGAAAACACACAAACTCCACACAGACAAAACACCAGGTCAATAATTAAACCCAGAGCCCAAGCACTGTAAGGCAGTAATACTAATCACTGTACCACTGTGCTGCCAATATGACTGCATTTTTATTTAAATTTAATCTAAGAATAATATCCAGTACAGTACAGTACTAAGGCTCCACTCTGGATTATTGGTGAAAGAGGGTGGAGTGCTACAGTACTTTCTGGCATACAATATAATTATAAAACTTTATTTAATATTGTGCCTTTGCAGGTGGTTTCTCAAAGCACTTTACAGAACAACAACAATACAAAATACATAAGATATACACAATGAAAATACACAGTGAGAGGAGACAGTAGATGGTGGTGTACAATAGGAGCAGAGGGGTAAATAACAGAACCAGTTAAGTAAAGGCCCTTCTAAAGGAGGTTTTAGGTTTAGAGAAGGTGACTATCTGATATCATTAGGTATAGAGTTATACTGTTTCAAGCTGTACATTTAATGATATATAGCGCAGATGGGCTCCAGCCAGTCTTCAAGCTGGTTCTTTCCCTGAAATTAGAGGTCAATATCACCCAAAGGAATGTCCACCAGTTGAAGATCTGTAGTGTGGGTCATAGAATCAAACCTGATAGCATATAAACTGGAATACAAGTAATTTTTCTGTGGTTAATTCACTGACTTAAAAGTCTTTCAAGTTCACCTTTTGTATGGCATGTGAACCTCAAGAAGACAGACTGTTTTACCGAAGACAACAGTATGCTTCTTTGGCAGAGCTGCCTGAGCCTAGCGCAAGGAAAAGCTCTCTCTCCTCTAGCTGCTAATGGAAACCCAGACAGCTTTTACCAGCACAAAGTTTAAACTATTCAAGGATATTTGGACAATGAATTGTTGAGAATAACTTCATTAATCACATACTGTACTTCTTGAGAGCTGAATGATTATTAAAAAATACGTTTGATGTTTAGTTCATGATAGTAAATGTATTTACTTGTGTCTGAGAATATAAATGTGATATAAGTTACAGTATGTAGACTGATAAAACCTATAAGCCATACTGTAACACATTATAGTCAATGTGTATTTTCACTCTGAAGTTATTAACTCTGATTTTTGTCATCCCTGAGTGAATGATCAGCCATTGTTCAAGGCAGATTTTTTCACAGACATATACTGTGTTCCATTACATTGTTGTTTGTTATATATGTTTCGATTATATTACATTAATAAATTGTGCATTGTAAATTTAGAATCCTTGCATGAGACTATAAATTGTTATGTTTTATTTGATCCTGAAATTTACAGTTACAATTTCTGATTGTTACAGCAAATTAAAACCCCAAACCTCTTTACGGTGGCTTACTGAAAATATGACAGTAAGTGGTCGCAGATGGTGTGTCCTGATCTCAGCTAAAAGCCACCACCAAACAGTTGCTTGGGTAGAGAAGTACTGTACTAAGAAAGGGAGAATGGGAAGTGAGTAAAGGCATCACCAGCTAGCCATTACTGGAAGAATAGAAAAGGCAAATGATACAGATGAAGACTGTTTCCAGAATACATGTAAAATTTAAAAATGTATTAGTTGGACTTTAGTGCAGGAGGCAAAGGCAGATCACTGAGGTGAAATGGAAGCCAGGACCAACTTTTTGAATTTAGCAGTTAGCAAAACCATACACACACACAAGTGAAAGAAATGTTTGTGGAATCTACACACTGTTTTCCATGCATATAATCCTTTTATATTTGGATTGATGCTGTTTGCTGGCTAAAAATAAACATTTACACAAAAAGTACTAGCACTGGGTTCCATAGTGAACTACTGTATGGGTGGAAATCAGAGTACCCAGAGGAAACCCACATGAACACAGAGAGACCATACGATCTCCACACAGACAGTACCCCAGCTACAGGATAGGACAATGAACCCAGTGCTGCAAAGCAGCAACACTAACCACTGTGAAACCATGTCCCCTGCCATGACACTCCATTTAAAGTTTTTTAAAAATTTGCATATACTGTACAAAACAAGATGCACACAATGTAAAAATATTTCTGAACACTTTTTGGTGCTATATCAAGGTTAGATAAAAATTGACTACGTTTCAAAAGAACTGAATGTATTTGGACTATAAATGACATTTTTAGTTAATTTTATCTTAGGATTTGTAGACAAGGATTTTTGAGACAAGAATGGCATATTTGCATGGTAGATCACCTGTAGATTGAACTCACCTGAAAAATAATCAGGGGTTAGCCATTTCTACACGTCCACCTTGGGAATGCACTAATGAAGTTACCCTTCCCAAAACAAACATGAAATCTGCAAAACTTGTTATCAAGCATCCATCCATCCATTTTCTGCTTCTTTCAATTCAGGGTCACAGGGGAACCAGAGACTCAGGCAAGCAAGCAGAGCACAGAACACCAGTCCATTGTAGGGTAGAAATACAGACACAAACACACACTCACATCTAGGTTCAATTTTCTCAGAATCCAATTAACATACCAGTACTGTATGTCTTCAGACAGTGGGAGGTAACCCTCATGAACATGGGGAGAACATATAAACTCCACACTGATAGCACCCCAGGTACAGAATTAAGCTCCATGGAAAAAACAGATGCAGCCATTCAAAATGCACAGAGTATGCTGCGGTAAAACACAGTAGGCGTAGCACGTCTAAATGCGTCATAATGGTCATACAGCATCATACTGCAGTTATGATAATAGTATCGGGAATAACCTTCTAAAACTGTCAGGTGGAGCTCCTAAAGCTTAACCTCTCAGATACAACATTTGAGCTATCGCCAGAAAATGCCCAGTTACGAATCCTGGTCACTGCTGAAGGACAATCTCTTTTCAATTAAGAATTTAAGTTGTACACTCTTTAGACTTTTAATAATTTTAAACTGTATATTACAGCATGTTAATCATTAAACATTAAAAAGTCAGTATATTTTATAAAAGCAATTTGTTCAGTTGTACACAACCTTTCACCTTCATCATAAATCTTTTAATTATCCAGAAATATTTAATGCATCAAAGTCTTTACAGCAGAAATAGTTTTAATAATGAATGACCTTGGACAGGCTGTAAGCTCAAAGTATTACCTTGGTCCACTTTCTTTGTAACCATCTGCATCAGTTTAAGTGTTACAACAGAAAAATACTTTATTTTTTCATTGACAAAAAGTAACACCACAGCATTTCGTTGATCTGATCACATATTTGTTTCCAATCATACAAAGTAAGTTTTGAGAATCTCCAATTCACCATGCCTATAATGGTTTCCCGGAGATTGCTCATAAACAATATTAATTTATATTTATAATAAATAATAATTAATTTATAACATATTATATAAACTGTATATGGCTGGTATTGGTTTAAATAAAAAATACACACCAGTATTCCACTTTCTTCCTCTTTTCTTATCACCCCATCAACTCATATTGCCTGCCACCTAATCTGCTTAACCTTCTTGCTCACAGCTCCCTTGATCGCCCTCAGCAACCATCCACACCAGGCACTTTCCCTTGCAACA